TTGTAGATGAAAATTTGGGAAGGCAGGATATAGAGGGGAATTAAGCAATGATTAATCATTGCTAGCGAAAAACGATTCTGAGTGGAAAAATGATTTCAAAAATGTCTCAAATATTTTGAAAATGTGACCATGTTTAGAAAAGCCAAATTCAAATTTTTTGTCCAAATTTCAAGTCTCTGCTGTTACTATTTTTAACTGAATTACATTAAAAAAACATTATTTAAAAAAATTAATTAATTAATTAATTATCTAAAATAATTAATTTGGTTCTTTTCTTTTTTTCTTAAGTTTAGCTACACAATGAGGTCGAGTTGGTCGCGATTCAGTTCAATTTGAATCAACAAAATATATTATAGCGGAAAATTAGTTGTTAAACGTATTGTATGGTTGAAGTTTGATAATTCCGATGTACTTAGTTGCGTGAAGGTGTTATTACTAAAAGAAGCAGTTAAAAACCCCGGCTTTATAGAGTAACACGGAGTAATTGATGTAGCTATTCTATAGATAATACATTACGATTAAAATTACTTAAGGTGACTCTTAATGGATATTCTTTAAGGGGTAACATTTAGGCGATTTCTAATTTCGTCGTTTTAGTAGGTAGTAATTGCATTAAATTAACGCTACTATTAAAACTGAATTAATAAGATAACACTGACAACAACATTTTTTTATTTTTATTTGTATTCATCCCAACTATTTGGGCTACTCTTGTTTTAAACCTCCAATTGACTAGATCTTTCACCTCGCAAACACAGGCTGTCCTTACATCATTCTCAATTGCATCCAGCCAACTATTTTTTAGTATTCTTCTCCAATTATTTCCTTTTGTGATTATTTTCATTACAATGCTTACTGTTTCAGATTCCTCTTTTCTCATAATATGCTTAAACCATCTCAGTCTATTTTTTCTAATTTTGTCTACTATCGAAGCCACACCTCTTAATTATTCATTCCTTATTCTATATTCTTTCATCACTTCCTCGTCCACCTAAGAAGTCTCATCTCTGTTACTCATTCTTCGTTCTATTTTTCTGTCTATCACCCAACTTTAGTCTATCACCCAAGTCTCATTGGAATTCTCTTGTCATAAAAAACACAAAAAACCTGATACTTCTCTCCACTTTATTCTTTTCTCACATAATCCTATGTTTAACATGCTCACTAAAGCCACCTTTCTCTTGTACAAAATATTATAGGTACTTAAAATTCTCAACCTATTGCTGTTTGCTATCAAACTCATATTCCCCTGTTTTACTTATTTTTATCTTTAGTCCCTTTTCTCTAGGTGCTACTCTTCATTCCGCAAGCCTAGCCTATTGTTACGGGTTTTTTTTTTATCATAGTTATATCATCTTTAAAACATCATGCACCATGATACCTTCTCTCCTCTGTTGATCCGAGATGGGGCATTCAGCCAAAGTCTTATTTAAAACTTTTCATATTGTTAGACAGAATTTTACATTAGCTATCAACGTGATGTAACCCCATGTGTCACCTCTTATGATAAGTAGAGGTACCATGGGAGTATTCTGATGTCCTTTAACAGGGAGAAATAAAACTTCTAGCATTAAATTATATAATACAATTAGATATTTAATTATTACATAATTTCATGTCTGAGTAGGATACACATTTATAATAATAGATTTCTTATTGTCCGATTAAGGATAGACGTAACAATTGTGTTTCAATAGCATACGTAGCTTAAGTTATTAAATATACACTTGGAAATATTTTCCTACTTGCATTATAGTAAATAATGTAAAAAGTGAAATAAAAATAAAAATATTTCTTTGAATCCAATTTTAATTTTGAAAACTAATTTTAGATTGTTAGTTTCTTTTATGTTTTGTGGGATAAACATTTTCGATATTTTTGATATATATTGTACTAAGGTATCAAATTAAATTACTTCGGGCCGGTTTTCAATTGCCATTTTAACTGTCATTTAATTAACATCATCGTGGTAAAACAAAATTTCATTTTCGACGTTCATTTTAAATTTTAAAAACAAACTAGCTGTTATGTTAGGATCACGGTTATAGATAGAATCGAGATATAAATATTTTTTTTTAAATATGATAAATAGGTAAATTATAAATAATAACCTTAAACGATCGTTAATCTATTAATTGGAAGGGATAGTAAAAGCTAATTTAACTGGCAGTTTAAGTGGCGATTAGTTTAATCGGGATTTTCAAAAAGAGTTTAATAGGTAGATAACGTTAACCAACAGTTGGTTTTGATTAATCTCGAGTTAAATGTAATTGAAAAACCGGATTTTAATTTTTAAAAACGAACTTGTACTTTAAAGGGTCAATGAGAGAAAAATATAAAAACTTTTTTCCTATAAATATCATAAAAAGATTAAACAAGACGTCCTAGGTTAATGGGGACGGGTACAGTCACTGTTATAGATAATTTAATGTGTACCCGTTAGAAATGATAAACCATTGCTTACAAAAAAAATGATTCTGAGCGGAGTTCAGTAGAAAATTGAAAAATGACCTCCCTAAAGTACCTTCATACACCAATTTCCTTTCAGAAAAGGTGCTAAACTTAAAAATTTTCTTTCTGAAAAGTTGTGCACAGATAAAAAAAAAGAAATAAATATCTTTGTAAAACCATAAATTTCTTCGCTCCACTCCGAATCTAAAATTCAAATGATTTTACATTAAAATTGGACTATAAAAAGTTTATTTTTTATTCGCAATTACAGACGAAGATAAGAATTCATTATCGTACTCCCTGTTCAGCAAGTCCCTTCAATTTACATAGGTATTTAAATTCACATAGCACTGATTGGGCTACACTAGAGAAAATGAAGATGGGGGAAAAACTTATCAGCTAGGCTGCTCTTCAGTTTTCATCACTTACAAATCTAATATATGACGCCAAGAAGGGTGGAAATTTTAAATCGGACTGATGGGGGACGACCACCTGACCTCATTTATGTTTTACATACATTAAAAGATAAAGATGACCAACCTCTAAAAGTATCACAAACAATCATACCAAATTTCCCCCAAAAGCCAGCACAAACCATTTATTATAGACATATGAGTCAATTTTTCAAGGTTTAACAAATCCGAAATTCCCAGGTGAAAGGCTGGATGGCCGGATTATACTAAATATATGGAAGAGAACATAAACCGCATGTCTCCCACCCTGGAAAACTAGAGTTAAAAAGAAAATTTCAAAAAGAGTTAGAAATTGCGAAGGAAAGTGGGTTGTTATAAGAAAGTTCACGGCTGAAAAGGTTTATAACGCACTAAAATCTGCGAATAACGGAAAAGTAGCTGGAGTAGATTAAATATTTCCAGAATTCCTTAGATATTCCCAAGATATTAGCGCGAAATTAAAGTGATAGTTATTTTGATACCCAACAAAGATGCCACAAACCAAAAAATTACCGTCCTATATTTCTACTGTCAAAAATTTACAAACTTTTTGAAGGCAACCCTGCTTATAGAACAAACAGGTTTTAGAAAAAACAGAAACTGCTGTGACTAAACAATTGCACTAGAAATGTGCATTGAAAATGGTTTCGAAAACACGAAAACACGTCCATTTTCACGCATGTGTTTTCACTCCCGGTTACCGGTACCGTTTTATCCATTCACCCGCCTATCAATCTCACCACTGCCGATATACATGGTATACGACTTACGTAGAGAATAAAATATCAATAACATTTGGTTTTAACGATCTTATCTCGCACGAAGGTCATTAAGTGACATTTGTCCAAGTTAAGGAGTAAGTTAAGATGTTGAGTCCAAACGAAGAAGCATCTAATTCAGCTTGTAATAAGAGCCAGTCAGCGGAAAGTTCGATTTAAAAAAAAAAATTAATGGCATCAGCAAATAAGAGAACATCCGCAAAAGAGAAACACTTATTTATTGAATTAACATAAATGAGAACAAGAATTGGATTTAGGTGACCCCCTTGAAGGATACCAGAAGAAATAGCTAATAACTCCGAAACGGCTTTGTTTAGGGTAACAAATTGTCTACGAGATGTTAAATAAGATGATAGCCAGGAGATAAGCGGATGGCCGATACCATATATAGGAAAGAAGTAGGAGCTCTGGTGACCGATACTTGGATAGAGTTAGAAAAAATTAAGTCAAGGGTGTTACCACTGCTATTGAAATATTAATTGAGTTGAAAGAAGTTTAAGAAAGAAAAAGGAGTAAGCGATTGCAGTAGACGAAGGAGATAAGTCACCAGAAGCAGTGAGATCAAGAGCATCAGATGACCATGAATTGTGAGGTATGTTGTAGTCACCGCATAAAATTACACTATTAGGCTTGAGTGTAGTTATCAGATGGTTAAAGCATGATAAGAGAGATTCAACAACAGGCAGAGAAGAGAGAGGAGGAAGATTGAAGTTGAGTTAAGCAAGATCGTAACAAATAAGTGCTCTACGTTATTGACATTAAGGGCTACAGGGATGGGTTGAATTTGAGTTTGATGACAATGAGCACCCCACAACATCGGGAGTGGAGGCTGTTATCAATGTTCCTGTTAAGCCTAAAAATTTTAAAGCTAAGTAGGCTGAGTTCGGAATCAGCAATATTGAGGATTAACCATGTTTCCGTAATCCGTAAGGACTAGAATACTATGAGAGATAAACAGAGGAAGGGAGCTCCTAAGATTAGCCAACTTAGTCCTAAGACTACGAAAATTTTGGTAGTAGATATTTAAATTATACGTTTGAAAAGTGTTAATGCTACATGCTAAAGGTGGGGTAGAGACATATTTTTTTTTAAGAGATTAATAAATTAAATTCATTAACAAAGTGTTTTTGAACATTTTTTCAAAGAAAGTAGGTATATAATAGGTGGACTGCAGTTTTAATATTGTCTTAATTAATATACTTACATGGTGTAATTAAATATTATTAATGTCACATACGAACATCATAAACGAAACTTTAATCTTTAAATATCAATAGTCGCTGTTTTTTTAATCCCAATATTTTAATTAACTACTTGCCTAAGTATCAATATTTACAATTAGTTTAGTTTTATTCCTCAACATAAAATCGGATATTCCCAATCGACTTTGTTGACTTCCAGGCACTATTGATAAATATTTATGAGCAGCTTGAGCTGGGCTGTATTTTGCATTATTATATTTTAAAGCAACACCAGGTACTAGAGACATTTGTCTATCTATTGGCATAGTATCTAGTCTTCTGAATACAAACATGGCCTCCATTTTAGTTACTATATTTGGCATGAAACTCAATATTTCCGTTTGTATCTTGGCGTTTGGAGAAATTTCTACAATTTTTATTTCTGAACTAAGTTTGACGATCTTTTAAAATGTAAGATAAACAAAATAATTATAATTGTATTTATACATATTTTTATATTTATAAATATGTACAGAGTGTGACACCCAAGCGACAAGTTATAATGGAATCCCATTTAGTTTTAAGTTTTATTTTTTAATTTTTAAACTATACTCAGTGGTGCTGAATTCTATGATAAGGTCGAGCCTTGGTTCGAATTCTTTTAGAAATTAAGCATAGGGTCGCTTCATTTTGGACAAACTTCGGTTTCCAAATAGAATAAATATTTGATTACAGAAATAAACACCTATGCTAAACATAATTTTGGAAATAAAATGGGCTGTGTTTAGTTTTTAGGGCCTCATGAAGTTTATTATATTTAATTAATATAAATAATATATTATAATTTTATTGATTCACCTGACTTAATTTTTAGGACTTAAGCGTCATGACTATACCTATTCATTTTATAAATGCGAATGGAGATCATTTATTTAAATATTTAAACTTAGAATATTAAATCCGAATTAATATTTACTTAAGTTGGGGGTTACATAAATGGCTAATATCGACTTACAAAATGTATTAACAGCATTTACAGCCTAGTAAATAAAACCACAGGTGTTGATTAAATGCTCGATAGTGTCAACAACTCTGTAAATTATCGGCTACTTATGTACAACTTACCTTTTCCAGAAACTTTATAACTCCGGGCACTTGGAGATTTTGTGCGATTTCAATAGCCTTGTTTATCATGTTACAACACTTCGCTATACTATCCAATCGAAATTCTATCATACCACTTACAGTCAATATGTTTGTAACCCATGTATGACTATTTATTTCTTGAGCCCACCGAAAACATTCAGCAGAAATATTTCTAGATTCTATAAGGTACTCAGGCCCTATTTGTATGTTACATTTGACAATCTCGAAATTTAAGTATAGTTTTTCCATTAATGATTTCGATTTTTTCACACGTTTGCATAATTTTCTTTTTGTTTTTCTGGAATAATAATAATTAATAATAAGTATTCCATTAAAAAAACATTATTATCAACACGATATTATCTATAATATAACCCATAAAAATAATTTCATTTAAATAGTATTGAAAAAATTCATAAAAGTATAATTAAAGAAAAAAAATACACAACTTACCAAATATTATTAACTATTGTAGCATAAAATATCAAAATAATATGTCTATCGAATTCGCTGAAATTCTGAACAAAAATACAAATAATATAAAATTCGCTTTTAAGACTAATAATAATTTAATCAAGAGAACTAAAAACTTCACAAAAAATCCACCTTCTTTTTAAAATGCTAGTAAATATAACTGTAAAAAATTGTATATAGGTATGACAAATAGAAATTTTAAAATAAACTATAAAGAACATATTTCTAAAATAAAATTAAAAAAGACTGCCTATAATTCAAATTTCGCTAAACATGTTTTGGAAAATAACCATAAGTTTTGATATTAATACAGACTAACCTTAGAGACATTAAATAACCGAAATAAAATTTACATTAATTCGGTTTTAGAAGAATTAGTTATGTACAATGAAATAAAGAAAAATAATTTTAATATTTTAAATGTACAAACCGATTTTAAAAAAAATTTCTTATATTTATACAGTTTAGATAATAAATAATAACCAAATAATTTATAATATTTCTGAACATATCCATGTCTAATAATATTTCATTATAAATAATCTATCCTACTAAAATAAATTATTTCTGTGTAAAACGACCAATTTGTATAATTTTTTTTAATGTATTTTTCATTTAATATTTTATATTCAGTCGCGTTTTACATTTCGTCTGTGATATACCTGATGATGAATTTTTAATTCGAAACTGGTCATATAATACACTTATCCTATTACTCCAGGTGATTCATTCATTCATTTTTTAAATTTTTATTTCTACAAATACATATAATTTTTTATTTCTGTATATACATTTTTTATTTATTTATTTATTGTATAAATAATTTAACTTAGCTTGGCGGCTCTTAATATTTACGACTACAAATAAAGATACAATTCTAACATAACTATTTCCCCATTTTATTATTTATTAGTATTACCATAACACTATTTAAGTACATTTTATGAGTATGAGCCACCAAGCTATGTTAAAGTTTTTGTGTAAATTATCACATTTCATCAAATACAAGATCACAAACTGATCATATAGTACAATTGTCATAGTACTTCAGACGACGCATCCATTCAGTTTTTAAATTTTTTATCTATATATTAATTAACTATATTTAATCCGACATACATTGTTTATCCAAAATTGTTTTTTAATTAAAATTGTAAAATAAATTAGTAATTATATAGAGTAAAATAGTATTTTGTATCTTCACAATTGTATAAATAAAATGTTATTTTGACTGGTCCGACTCAACAGTGTCTATGTGAAGATATACTACCTATGCATAATATTTTATCTCCGTAATCTCCGGAAAAGTTTAAATCCAGATCAGGTAGTACATTTAACTGATGATTACGGTATATTATACGAACCTGATATGGTTGGCCAAAAAATATGTACTTACTTCCATAATAACTTCAGTAACAATATTTACAATCAAAAATGTATGGATAATATAAAACAACTTCTGAAAAAATACTAATAAAATCTGACACCAATTCATTCTGCCTAGACTAAATAAGTTTAAATGATCCATTATCTTAAAAAGAAATAGAAATAGCTCTCAGTAAATGTACAAGTAGAAGCTTTGATCTGGATAAAATTCATTCACCTTTATTCACAATCTCAGTAATATTGCCAAAAACCATCTAATCAAAATATAACATGATATGGAGAATAGGAATAATACCAAATTAATGGAAAAAGTTTAATCATCCGAATCTTAAAACCATGAAAAAATAAGCAATCTGTTGATGGATACAGATCAATAACTATCCTAAATACCTTGATAAAAATAATGGAAATAATTATTAACTCATTTAGAGACTCACTAGACTCATTTAGCATTTAGAAAAGAACAAAATTATACATAAAGAACAAAATGGCTTTCATCATGCCAGATATAAAATTGACAACCTTTATATTATGACTAAAACTGAAATCGACCGAGACTTAGAAAATAACCAAATATTATGAATAGCGAGCCTGGACATAAAGCGTACAACTCAGTATGGAGACACAGAATGTTCATATTAATAATCAAAATACTGTCATATGGAAACATTTTTCTTATGGACAGACAATTTCAAGTAAAAATAACCAATTCCTTTTCAAATGTTTTCACACAAGGTATCTTAAGGATCATCAATAGTCATCATTGTCTTCTTATTAGCAATATATTATGTTATTGTTGAAACAATAGTGACTCCCGTAACAGCCAACTAATTCGGAGATGATTTCATAATTTTAATTAGAAGCTAAAACATTAAGACTGTGCAGAACTACCTACAATAGCCATTAAAAATTTAAGAAATTGGTAATATAATTCCGGTTTTAATTTTTCCAGCAAGAAATCCTAGTATATAATATTCTCCAAAAAAAAAAAAAAATAGGAAATCTTGAAATACCTCCATTAAAAATAGACTACAAGAATATCCCACGTCATTCAAAATCAAAATTCCCTGTCTGATATTTGAATCTAAGCTCATTTAGATACCCTAATAAAAATCTATACTAAAATCTCAAAAACACAAAATCTCGACATTTTAAAATCCATTGCATACACATCATAGGGTGTTGACATTTCACTATTAAAGATCTACAAAGCACTAATTAGATCCAAAACTGACTTTGGTTCAATAATATCTAATCAAAATATTTCAAAATGATCGATACATCATTAAACACGGGCATACGTCTAGCGCTTATGGGCTTTAAATTGAGCCCCATTGATGGTCTAAGGAATCCAGAGGAATTACTTCCAGAGATAAGAAGAACATACAATTCATTATTTTATGCAGCCAAATCACTCAAAAACACAGAAAAAGAAAATCCCGTATGATTTCCCCGTAGACGTATCGATATTCGATATACATTTAGGTATATTAGATTATAAAAAAGGAAATACCAGTACAAATATGTGTAATTTAAAAGTACCATAACTATAATAACACATCCATACTGATGCATCTAAAGTAGAGAAGAGTCGGGATCGCAATAGTAACGGAAAATTCAACTATTACCTAAAAACATCCATTAGAATGCTCTATTTAAATTCTACACAGTTGAAATACTAGTTATATACAAAGCAGTAAAATATATAATAAAATGTATCTATGATGAATAAAAAAAATAAATTTGAAATCTTGTAATACTTTGGATTTGATTCATATCGTCCAAATATTGATTCTATAAAAATAACCATGTTCATTTCGCTCACGTCTTTAGCAGCTCCTAAAAAGACGAGCATTCTTTGATGATTTTTCTGTTCATTCCATTCATTTGTATCTTGAAATAATAAATATTGTGCCACACCAAAACTTCGATAAACAACATCTATAATCACGTTAGACTTGTAATGTATTTTCTCCATAAAGTTTGACAAGATCTCTGTTTTTTGTGTTGCCTCATTTAATTTGTTATTTAAAATTAATTGAATTAAAGTATTTAAGTATTTAGCCATTTGTAGATGCCCCATAATTTTTATCGTTTTGTTATGATTTTTTTGAGTTTCTAATCGGTCTCCTCTCATTTTGTTGGCTTCACATTTAAAGACAAACAACTGTTTTCTTTTATACAATTGATTCTTAAATAAAACAATTGCAAATTAACTAATTATTAATTTTAAATTAGTTGTATTTTCTTACTTCAGCTACGTCCATTGCGTTTAACATACATCTCATATTGCTTTGTATTTTTTTTTCTGATTCATAAAATGGATTCTTAGGACGACTAGATTTTAGCAATTTGTCAAAGTACCGTTTATCTTGAGCCAAACGGCCAAGATAAAATGAATAATTTCCTTTGTGATCGAGATTTTTAGCTAAATCAACTACATTTTCTAAATTTTTCCGGTTTGCCAACTTCAAAACAGTTTTTCCTAAACAACCTTTTCTATATTTGTTTTTTTTTAAATTTGTTGAATCGTCTATTATTTGAAAAGTCTATAAAATAGAACGATTATTGTTTATGTCATTTTTAAAATTATGATACTTTATATAAAGGAATTTTAGGAAACATGAACTTACCTTTAAAACACCCATTTTAAATACTGGCGGTTGTGTTCTTCTTTTAACCCCATTTAAATATGTTAATAAACTTTCTTCAAATTCTTCATTATCTAATAATACACTTGCTTTATTTTCCAAGACATGAATGGAGTTTGGTGATATATCTTCTGCTATTAAATGATTCGTATACGCCAAATTCGGTTGCAGCGTGTTCTGTTGACATTTGCTAAAGAGAATCCGAAAATCTATGTCATCTGATATGGCTAACACTTTTTCACAGCATTGTGCGGCTACAATATAGACAAACTCAATATTTTAAAACTCAAAAATATATAATAACGCGTAACCATCTTCAGTGGCACCGAACATGGGGCACATTTTTTTGCAAGTGGGAGGTTAGGTTGGAGGCTAGGCGTGGGTGGTGCCAGTGGTGAGAAATATACATAGCATAAGTAGTATTTGTAGAAAATATAAATATAAAAAGAGCTGATACTGGGGACGGGTGCGGCCACTGTTGTAGGTGAGAAGTTGGAAGGTAGGATACATAAGGTTATATTATTTATATAATCTGTAAGCGATGATAAACTATTGCTGATGAAAGACTATTCCGAGCGCAATTTAGTAATATATAATTTGAAGTGCCGTAATTTTTTTTAACCTAATCTTCTTACAATTTTTCTGATGAAAACTAATTCAAAAATCAAAAAAAAATCTGTATCATTGAAAACACGATTAATAATTCAACAAAAAAAGGTCTCTGGTCGTTTTTTAATTAGAGCCATATTTCTGCTAAAAAACGTAATGGGCACTTATTTAAAACAACGAAATCGTGAAAAATCGTATTTTTTTCCCCGGTTAATCGTGTTTATTTTAAATAGTAAATACCGTTTCAAAAATCAAAAAAATGACCTATGAATTTACTAAGTAGATTTGACTTTTAGAAAAGGTGCTATACTTATACATAGGAGCAAGTTTTCTAGGATAAAAGTGGTCTACAGCATAAAAAAAAAACAAAAATAAAGTACCAAGGTAAAAAAATTAAAAAAAGAAAAAAAGTCGTCTGATAATTTTAAAAATATTACCACATCTAGGTAAGTTTAATATAAATATTATTACCAAATTTCAAGTCTCTACTTATAACCAAATTACAGCAAAAAACTCTCAAAAATTTAAATTCTTTAAAAGTTCAAAAGTTTTGGCAATGAAATCGTAAGAAAGTAAATCATAAAGGCAACAAAAAAGGTATTCTAGTGTTTTTATTTAAAAAATGGCGTCGAAAATCAAAAAATGAACTGTTTAAAGTACAATATAGTCAACTTGAGCTTTCAAAAAAATGCTACATTTATACATCGGAACAAGTTTACTAGGAAAACACGTATCCACAGACAAGAAAAAAAATAAACATCTTAGTAAAACCAATAGCTCCTTCCCTACACTCAGAATCTAAAATAGTTTTCTGAATTATGTAATGCATATCTTTTTTAAAAAAAATTAATTGCTTAAAATGTTAGTAAGCCCAAAACTTGGGCTGAACCGAAAATGTCTGAACCGATTTGGCTGTTTTTTTTTTTTTAATATTCCTTTAACCGTAAGGAAGGTTTTTATCAAAAGAAAAATTAGATGAATAGCTCAGAAAACTAGAAAAAAAAATCATTTTTACTTTTTTATGTATAGATTTTAAGCAGGAAACTATGGAAACAAAATTGTTCTTTTTTATTGAAAAAAAAAAAGTTCTGTTAAAAGCATTATTTTTTAGATTTGGTCGTCAGAGAAAAATACAGAGTCTATGTGAGATTACAGATTAATAGATATATTAGTTATAGATTATGAATGTGAAATTGTAACGTAATGCAAATCTTTGTAACGGCTAATATCAAAAACTACTGGATTAATATTTACGTGGTTTTTGCAAAATTATCCACGTTGTCTGGAGAAAGTTTATAGTTATTGAAATCCACACCTTATTGAAAATCGTCCCCCAAAATTAAGTTTTTCAGTATTATCAAATTTTTTTTTTTTATGGATTACCTTAGTAACAGATAAAATGAAAAAAAATAATTAAAAGGTTGTTTAAAACGTAAACGTATTTATGGTAAATATAAAGCATAGGGCAATGGCGTATTTACGGGGTGGATCTACCTCCATGATTTTTTTTCTTTTTAGGATTTGATTGTCTTCTTCAATATTCAAATCAAAAACTTGTTGAATTTTATTCTCCTAATGTCGATATGATTAATGTTATATGTATGAGTGAATTATAAATTTGGAAAAATAATATTGGCGATACCATGTATAAAAATGGTTTAGAAGCACTGAAAAAGACAAGAAATGAAAAATGATAAATTTACGGCACAGCACGGTGCTATGATTCCTTTATTATAAATTTTTACAGTTTATTTTTTACCAGAAATATTTTTCCTATAAAAAAACAAGATATCTTTTTTGTTGAATTTTTAATCTAGTTGATGATCAAGAAAGTAATTTTTTTATTTTCTTTGTAGTTAAACCGTTTACCGGAAAATACGTAGAAAGAACAGGAAAATTCACAAAAATAATTTATTTTTCATTTAAAATTTTTTTTAAAATATTCGTAGAGACTTGAATGATTTCAAGGAAATTTATATTTGATTTTTCTAGACGTGGTAAAATGTTCAAAAAGTTTAAGCCAGTTTTGGGCTATTTATGGACATTTTAATTTTGCGAATTTTTTATGTAATTTTTATTTTGTTAGTCTAATCAAAAATGCTTGGGAATTTAAGAGAAGGTTCATTATAATTCGTACTTCGTGGTCAAGAAAACACTTGGGTGTTATGCAGTATTTTTTTTTTTCATAAGAGTTAAAATCAGATCGTAAATATTACGGCCTTTCAAAACATGTATAATCGAACTCCGTTCAGAATCGTTTTTCGTTAGAAATGATTAATCTTTGCGTTTATACATTAAATATCCCCTCTACCTTCCTAACTTTTCATCTACAGTTATACCTACCGTGTGAAGTATATCCGTTTGTTTTTAAACATAAAATGGGATATTTTTATTTAATTAAATATAATGTTTTAATGCATGTTATAAATTTATAATACAAAGTCTGACCTTCGGTTTTTCATAGAAGATCATCTCTCAATGATATCATCCACTGGTATACCTATTTCCTTGTAAATATGCAATTATGCAAACATATATAAACGACTCTTGTACATTTTTTTGTTACTAGAAATCAATGATAAGAGACAACGGTCGAACCGCCAAAACGAAATTATAACACCAGAAACCTTGACCTTGTTGCATATAAGCATACTAAGCATTGCTAGAGACTACTAGGAAATAGTGAGTCCTGATTGGGTGTACTTCATTAATTTATAACATGCCTACAGTTGTATAATGATTATAATGGCTTAAAATTGTAAAATAAAATACAACTGTAGTTATTATGAAAACATATGCACAGAGAACTGAAATACACAGAAATACTGCTAAAACAAAAAAGCCAAAAAAACTACTTAATACTCCTTTTTTTTTTTTCCAATTGACCAACAGCAGTGGGGAATTAGTTTTTCGCATTGCTATGCCATTACTGTCATTGCTTTTTAATGAGTATAATTAAACGTTTTGTAAAATCCTGTTTTCCCCTTCACGGGGTACGCTCACATTGTTAACTATACTAATATTAAACTACAATAAGAGATGAGCATTGGAACTGCGTCACCTCCTAACAAAGTGCTAACTTAACCTAATTTGTACATGGACTTGAGCCGGTGGCCGAATCTTCCTGAGATTTGTTTTTGATAGCCGAGACTAATGAATGAGCTTTACCTACGGCAGCTGGTTGGCCCTTGCCTTCCTTAATTTCTTGTCTTGCTCCTTGCGGCATGGTATGTCCTCTCTACCGAGCAGTAGAAAGACTATGAATCGCGAAAGGAAGCTACTGCGATTTGATCATGCGTAGTCTAGTCAGAATCTCAGAATGGGATGTCCTCTGGGCCGTAGAGCAAATTTTGAACGTCGCTATAGGAACAATGCTCCTAATGCAGCACTTACTACCTCTTGGCTTTTATTACTATTTCAAATGTCTTTATTCTTGTCTCAATTGTCTTATTGCAATTGTAGTTGGTTGTACTTAAATATAACACCATCTTTTTTTCTTAAGTGTTGAAGGAAATACAGTTTCTAACTGTTTGTGAATTGAATATTTGTTTAAACTGTGTTAAATGTAATAAATACTTTTTTTTTTGCTTTTCTGTTTTGATTGTATTTCTTTTTTCTGTGCAAATGTTTTCATAATTACAGTAATATTTTATTTTATTATTCTAAGACATTATTATTACCATAAAACTGTTAGTATGTTATTATTTGAAATATAACCAATAAGAGCTCACTATATTTAATATGGGTCTCTAGCTATATGATATGCTTATATGTGGCCAGGAAATATTTTTATAAAATATTTTATTACCTATCAATTTGTTCAAATAATGGTAAAAACATTAAAAACAAATACAAATGCACACACATAATTATATGGCTCATGGGGGAGGCGAATGTCTCTCGCCCCTCCCCCCTACAGGTACGCCATTGCTGGCATACCTATTTATTTTATAGTGTACAAAAACTAATACATAGACACCGAATATTTTGTTCAAAACTACGAACATAGGTATTTACTAGTTTATCGTAATATAATGATAAGAAATACACGGTTTTCGTGTAGATACGATAAAACTATTAAACATAATTAATAGTACTGTATCATTCTGTATTTTGGGAGATACCGACAATATTGGCAATAATATATTGTAATCGTCGTTTAAAATTCTTTGCCAACACACTTCGTATACATACGATTATAATATTGTACTGCAGACTGTCCCACAAAAATATACCCCTTGAATATCTCCAGAGAATAATCGAATTCTGATTTTTATGTTACTCACAGGGATAAGGACTACAAATATTTATTTTTAAATTAAATGTTTTTTTAGTAAAAAATTAACTTTTTATTTTAGTATTTTCAGAAAATTTTAAGATAGTCATTCTGTAGAGTTTATTTTTATGAAAATTTTAATGTGTCACACATTTATATCCAATGAATAGTTTCTAAGTAACAACCATTTCAAAATTTACTAATCTTTGTGAAAACCGATATTATCTCGAAAATAACCTAAACGCGTTAGATGGTAAAAATAAATTCTACAGATGGCTATTTTAAAATTTTCCGAAAACAATAAAATAAAATAATTTTTTTAATTTTTTTACTAAAAAAAATTTAATACGAATATAAAATAATTATAGCCCTCAACCCTGTGAGTAATATAAAAGACAGAATTCGATTATCTTTACTATCTCTGAAGATATTCAAGGAATATATCAATTAATTATTTTGAAAATTACTTACGGGCCGCATACATTTTCTGAATAATAAAAAATTAATAATTCCCTAATTAATTTTAACTAACTAGATAGGAAGGGGTAAGTTTTAGAAAATTCAGTATGTTGATCTGTATAGTGGACATTAGTATAATATAAATTTTGAAATATTTATTATTTTACGAAAAATTAAGCACAAAGCATCATGTTTCTTAACAGAAATATAGAAAAATTCCATTTTTCAACTATCTTGAAATATTCTGTGTTCTTTTTCTATTCTTTGTTTTGCCATTATAGACGATTATAAATTAACAGATTAATTAAAAACAGAAATACATTTTTCACAAAACGTGTTAAACTACAAATTAACTATGAGGACGAAACAATGGATTCGTATAAGACTATGCAGCAACACGCGTGATGGAAATAAAAGATCAATATATAAAAAAAAAATGCTATAGGTTGAATAATAATTTTTAAATGCTTATCGTACCTACATATTTGTCAAACCTGAAACCGGCGATTCAATAAAAGTAAAAATAATAAAATAAACAAAAATAATAAAATTAGATAAATAAAAGCTATTGTGTATAACATCATACCTAAATCAAAAAAATACGTATTTTATTTTATTTGCAAGAGTATTGAATTTTAGAATGTACAAATTAGTTTTAGTGTGGGTCGCACAAAATTAGCTAAAGGGCAGCACGCGGCCCGCAGGCCACGTTGTAGAGACCACTGCTGTATATCAATATAAACATTATAGTTTCAACAATTTAATTGATTAACGACTTTAAAAACGATTTTGAGGAGGGGGGAGTTGTACACCCCCCCACAAATATGGCATTGCATACACAAAACAACTATCAGTGAATACAGAACAGTCAGTGGTTCTGGAGAGACTATACGTAAACACGGTGAATATTTTTATTAATATAATATTAACCATTTAGATATAAATAACAAGCGTTTCGGTGTAATCTCGCGTATAATCCAAAATCATACGTGGGCAAATATACTGCACACAGTAGCTATCTAGCTATTATAATTTTTAATATAAAATATGCAATATATCTCTCGTAAATTACATTATTTACCTTTTTCATAATTGTGTTTTTGAAATTCTTTTTTAGCTACAGATTTTGTAACCATTAGCTCGTTGAGCCATAATACTGGTCCTTTATCATTGTTATCGAACATTGTAATGTAGGTGCGTGAAGTGAAAAACTGTATAAATTTTAAATAGGTATCGGTGATCAAGTGATTAATTTATCTTACTCTAAATTATTAATATGTTTTAATTTGTATTTTATTTTATTTATAAAATTAGGCACATAGCAACGGTTTATAAAGAATAGTTTAAATTATTTTATAAATTCTTCGGTACTACATTAAATATAGTAATATCTACTTTGGTGGTTAGGTATATGTAGATTAGTTAATCAAAACCACCAACTAACCCGGTTCAGGGAACTCGGGTGAAAAAAATAAATACGCTTATTCATTTTTTTTCTTTAAAATGATAAATATTATTTATTGCTCGATGATTAACGAGTTAGACAAAAAGAAAGAATAAAAAGATAAGATAATGGGGACGGATCCAACCACTGGTGTAGGTGGGAAGTTGGAAAAGTAGGATATAGACGGAAATTTACTGCATATCTATAAGCAATGATAAACTATTGCTTACGAAAAAACGATTCTGAGCGGAGTTCAGTTGACAGTGATCTTTTGTCAATAATATATGTCATTTTGTAGTAAAATAATCAAATAGGCTTTATATAGTTTCTTTAATAAAATTTGTTTAATGTTGTAACAATTTTTACAGTTTCCCTACGTCTTTCACATGTTTTATACCGGCTTTTTACATTTGCTGGAAAAACTCTTAGGAAAATCAAAAATTACCTTTTCAAAGTATCTCCCCATGCTGATTTTATTTTAGAAAAGGTGCTACACGAGCAAGTCTTCTGGTAGAAAAGTTGTAAAATAGAAAAAAATAAAAATAAACAGTGGTTTAATACATAGCAGCTTTGAACGTAGGAAACAAATGTACTTATTTATGTTAAGAATGATGGTTCAATTGTGGGTTATAACACTTTGAAATCAGTATGAATAAGTTGCTCTTCATTTTTATATTTATGTTATTTTTTGTCACCCTTATTTTTGGGGGTAAAACCACTTCATACTTTTAATTTTCAAATAGCAACCTATATTTAAAAGTCCATAAATAGATGAAGTATTAGTTATAACCAATTTTACTGTTGACATTTTTGATTTCCGTTGATTTTTTGATGAGATATTTCACTTTAAATTTTGAGTTAGAAGAGAGTAGTGGAGTGTCATTTATGTGGCGGTACGGCACACGACATGTTAATAATACACCACTACTATCTTCCAACCTAAACTTAAAAGTAGAATATCTCATCAACAGATCAACGGAAATCAAAAATGTCAACAGTAAAATTGGTTATAAATAATACTTCATCTATTTATGGACTTTTAAATATAGATTGCTATTTGAAAATTAAAAGTAGGTAGTGGTTTTTACCCAAAAAATGAGGGTTACAAAGAATAACATAAATATAAAATTGTAGAGCTAGTTGTTTCTTAAATGTTCTAGAACATAAATTCCAAAAATATTTAACCCCTTAAATAAATCACCCGGTACATGTATGATATATTAAATAACTTAATATTGCATATTTTTCCATATATTGGTAGTCGACTTGTCGTAGTCTAATGGTGATACGTACCTGTTGTTTTGTAGATTTCAAACAAGCGTATGACAGTATTATCAGAGAAAAATTACAAGCAGCTATGGAGAAATTTGGCATACCAACCAAATTAATCGGGTTGATAAAAGAGTGCAATAGTAGAACGTACTGAAAAGTAAGATTTGAAAATAATCTGTCATAAAGTTTTAAAGTTTAAACGGGCCTTAGACAGAGAAATTCGCTCTCTCTCGTACTTTTCAATCTGGCGTTAGAAAAAAGTAATTAGATATCTACCTGTGAGATAAAGTATGGAAATCCTTGGACAGAACACCATCTTGGCATACGCGGATGACATTAGGAAATTTATCAAATATTTCATAAACCCATTATTAGTGTAAAAAGTGAAAAGATTAGAATGGGTTGGTTACAACTGAAGATCTGAAGGCGAAGCAAATCAAATTTTTAAAGGGAAACTGAAGGAAAAAAGCCTAGGGGTCAACCGAGATAAAGATGGGAAGATATTAATGGAATATCACAAATAAAAAGAATTGAAGATAGCGAAGATAGAGATAAATGAAGATGAGTGGTTGAGGCAGCGAAGATCCTACACGGACTGTAAAAGCTATAAACAGAATAAAAAAAATTGTTAAATTTAATTTTTGTTTACTACAATATGTTATAATTAAATAGTAAGTACTTATAATTAAAAATATAATACAGTAGATTCCATATAATGTGGGTACCGGTTAATTCGGGCATCCGCATAATGTGGGTAAAATGGTCTGATTCCAAT